AAGTTCTCTTTGTTGAAGTTGATGAGTCTTCATTAGTTCTTTTATTTTGATCATTGTTGAGTTCGCAGTTTGTGACGGTTGTGGGGTGGTGATGAGATACTTTTTGATTTTTTATATTTTTGAGATTATGTTTATTAATTCTTCATACTAATAAAAAATAATGAAAAATCAACAAACTTTCCTCATATTTTCTTCAGGGTAAGGGGGGTGGAGAAAAATCGCGCAAAAAAACTTATTCTCTAATATTTAGAAAAAATACTCATTTTCTTTTTTCTTTCAAAGTTGGCTTTTTCTTCAGTGGGGAGAGGCTACGCCCCTACAACCCCCCCACCAGGGGGCTCCGCCCCCCACCCCCCAGCAGGGGGCTTCTCCCCCCCCGCCCCACACGTACCCACTCACCACCCCAACAGACGCAATGATGACATAAAATCCGACTTACCTCACTTGTTGTTTAAAATACCATTCTATGATTAGTTATTTTTTTGTTCATTCTGAAAGCTAGAAAAGAAACATTACCTTCTAAAAATCTGACAAAATTCACAAAATTTACAAAAAATATGACAATTTTTGCCAGTCCATTACAACATGGAGAACTTGATGGCTATTCGTTGGTGAAATTCAAATATTGTTGATGCAATTAAATGTTTAAAAAAATTGGATTATATATTTCTAGAGTCGCTTTATTCAAATCCCATGTTAATTTTGGTTTTTCCTGGTTTTGTGATCGTTTGAATCAATTTTCAGCCAAAACGGCCGAAGATACGGAATAAAGTTTCGAAAAAAATATTCCTTGGAAAAAACTGCTCAAATTCTATCTTATGTTTTTTTTGGCATCTCCATTATTTACGAAGATATTGGAGTAAGTATCGAGAACGAAGTGGTAGTTATTAGGAAACTATTTCATTTCTCGTATTCATAACTCGAATAGAAGTTCTGAATGGGATGAACAGTCTAATGGTGATAGAACAAGACACGACAGATTGAAGATGATTATTTTTAATTTTCGTTCTCGTCGGAGGTTTCTTGACTACTTTCGGTTTCTTAGAACTTTCCATGATAGTTTTTACTCTTTTCGGAAGTTTCTTGATAATTCTGTGCGCCACCTATCTTAAAGTAGCTCAAAGCAGGCCTTCACCATTACGTTAAAATAAACATCCCCACGACTTCTTTCCGCATAGATATCAGAATATCTTCGTTAACCCTTCAGAACTACGGCTATAAGCGCCGCGCCGCCTTTTTCAAATTTTCGCTTGCCTCTTGCAAAATTGAGCTTTCAAAAAATTGAAAAAATTAGAATGCCTAGCTTGAATCATTTAGAATGGATTAGCAAGGTTCTTATCCGCTGAAAATCCATCAAGGCTACGAAAAATAATAAATTGTTGAGGCTCATATGCAAAAGCGGCGCCGGCCCGCCCAGCGCGAGTAACGAAGGATGTGAAATTTTCAATTCCGCTGTTGCTGTTTCCCGCTCGCCGCACGCTCGGCGCGTAACTATGAATGTGACAACGCTGCGTTACTGAAAGCACGGGCGGCGCAGCGCTCACCACGCGAGTAACGAAGGTCGGTGGCTGAGCGCGAGTTCTGAAGGGTTAATAACGGAGATACCAAAAAAAGTCATAACAAAATTTGTGCATTTTTTTCCAAGGAATATTTTTTGTTGGAAACTTTTCCCCGTATCTGCGGTCGTTTTGGCTGGAAATTGATTTGAACGATCACAAAATCGTGATAGACCAAAATTATCATGTGATTTGGATGAAGCGACTCTGGAAGTATGTAATCCAAATTTTTTTTAATTCAATCCCATTAACAATATTGGAGTGTCAGAAGCGAATGGGCTACTCATCAAGTTCTCCACGTTGCAATAAAGTGAAAAAAAATTATCATATTTTTTCAAAATTTTTTCAATTTTTTCCGATTTTTAGAACGTTGCGTTTTTTTCAGCTTTCAGGATGAACAAGAAAAACTCGTCATAGAAAAAATCAAAAAAAATTTGAGTGTTTTTATGAGTTAGATAAACCTTATGAAAAATCGTGATCAAAATCTGAGGGATCGAGGTGACGGGCTAGTCGAGTTGACATGGAATACTCCATATATCGAATTAGATTTATTCACAGCAAACGTAATTTTGTTTTACACCATGAGAGCTGGAACGAGAGTGAGCTCCCGCGACAATGAGATTAATCATCCGATCGAGGATGTCCGAATTATTATGAATCGTCGCGAAGATGTCCTGCAATAAAGGACAGTGTTATATCAGCTAATACATATCGCGGTAAAGTAATCGGTTGCTAAGCCAAGCTCGAAAACAATACATTCAGATAATCTGACACAAATATATAATTAGCTTCACCACATTTTTTTATGGCGATATGGATAAATATACGAACATATCCTTTTTTCGTTTCTTCTTTGAACTGCGATATTGAGTTGTGTAAATTAAAGTTCCATAATAGAGGGTTTCGTTCTCCCTTTACCTGGAGGTCACAAGGGCCAGTGGCAGAATGAAAGAAAAATATTTCTGTCTTATGCAACGTTGGATCTAAACATGAACTTATTTCCAGACATGAATATACGTTGAGATTTAAATTTGTGCTTACATCTAAATGGAGTTCAAAATATGTATTTATGAAAAATGAGACTTATGCCGCTATAGTCTAGGCTAAGATGCACGTAGCGCGTCCCTTACGCTAGTGAGAAAAAAAATCGAAACGAAAATTGCCAGCATCGACTTTTTAGGCCTGCTAATTTGGCGTGGATCTGCTCATAACTCTCTCATCTTTTATAATTAGAATAAATCTAATTCCATGTCAAATATCATAATCGTTCAAGAACAATTTATAGTCTGATGAAAGTAAACAAATACCGAGAATCATGGGACCGTATGACACTGCAGTTTCAAGGTGTGAAGGGTGGTAGACGGAAAACGAAGGAAGAACCAAAACTAGACGGCTCTAACGCCTGGAAAGACGCTGAATCGACTTTATCTTCACCCCCTTCTCCGCTTTCCATGCCTTCTGTGCATGTAAGAAGATATGTACACGCTATTGAAAAAGTATCTCTACGCTTTCCTCGTTCATTTTCCACGTTTACTTTGTATTCTAAGTACTAGAGATATCAGAGAAACTTTGAAGATAGAAGGAATGAGGCTTTATAAAGAACATGGAGGCGTAGATAATTTTGCATAGATCACCCATTGCATCGTTATTGGTTTACGGTTAAGATCAAATTTACTTTTAACGGGCAGTTAAGTCCAGGAGAGTGACACTGGATTTGATTGGACTACAGGGATCATGAAATTTCAAGATGAGATTACCATTATGTGACTTTCCGCAATGAAAAATTAGTCTTTTTGAAATCTGGAAGACTCGCGTCTGCTTCTATGAGAGAGTATCGCTGAACGCTAGTAGCCATACTTCTGGGAGACTCTGCGTGAGAGACGCGACAAGACAGTCGAGAGACTGCTACCGAGCGGCTCTCGGCGATTCCGCGTGCCTTACATATCTCAATAATTAATTAGTCACTAATAACTCCTCCAATTTTATTGTTAAGAAATAATTGGATATATTAAGATAGTTAATTCATGAATTCAAAAATTATGAAAAAAAGAAATTGGTTGAGCAGTTTTCCAGATATTTCCCTCCCCCATCGGTCTGCCATGTTCCTTTTCGGCCGCCCATGCTTTTACTAACCCAACTCGCTGCTGCTTAGCTTCACTGATCGCAAGTTACCCCGGTATCTTCTGCGCTGTGCAGCTGCTTGTGGCAGATTGTATTTTTTCCGCGTGATATAATAGGAAAGGTAAACAGTGGAGTAATATGGGATAACGGAGAGAGGGGCATGATAAGAGAAATTGAAATAAAAAGGACAATGGGGCAAAATGGGATACCTGGGGGGAGTGGCCCAATTAGACAGCCGGGTACAATGGGAATGCAGGCGTGCCATTTACCCATGGAGTAAAACATAAAAGCAGGTTAGATAGACTGGGGCAAAATGGGATAGCGGTTAAGTGAAACCCTAAAGTGAACCAAAATGACAGTTACTCCGACATTAGGGTAAAGTGGGATAATGGAGTGAACTGGATTATGGAATGGATCCGGTAGCGAATTAATTTTATTTTTTAACTTTTTTTCCTTCTTCAATTTACATTGTTAATTTACTTATTTATGGTTCGGTAAATTGAATGATAGGATGAAATTAGATGGTGGGGTGTAAAATTGAATTTCGAAGTAAACAGGACGAGAATGCTATTGTCAACTGCACTGCTCAGATTGTGGGGTAAAATGGGGTCAACTAAATGTAGTATCGGGAATATTTTAGTTTTAAGAGTGTCTCGACCGTGGGGAAGTACGCGTCATTGTCATGGACGAAATGTCTAGACGCTGGGGATCTGCCCCAGAACATTAGAGATAGGAAATATTTTAGTTTTAGGTTTAGTCTTTTGTTATAAGCAGATGTTGGGATGGAATTGTTTTATTGAGGTAGGATTAAGACGAGACGTAGGATTAAGCATTCAATCGTTTTATTACGGTGACCCTCCAGCTGCTTCATCGACGATGCCCCACCCCCTGGCTGACCCACGCTGCCACGTCTTGGGAATTTTCCATTAGACGAAAATGGCGAGTGAGGCCCAATGATGCTTGGTGGTGGGGGAAGAGGCTAGGAGAGGGAAATCGGGGGTGTCGAAGGGCTGAAGGTGTCACCGAGGGGGTGGTTGATTGGCGGAGTTGGAAGTGTTTAGAAGTGAGCAGACAGACGAATAGACGAAGTAGTCTTGTCTGCTATTAGAAGTTTTTTGACGGTTAATTTAGAAGTTTTAGTTTACGTATCGAGGTGTATCGATTTATAAGACTGTATATTCTTAAAGTGTTTATTAATTAAAGTGTTTTTAAGAAAAACTATTCAGCTGTTTTATCTTTTTAAAAGTATCCCCATATATTTTTGGGGGCTCAACCGGGATACAAAAACGATACAGCCAGTTTCAATAGAAGTGTTTTTTCAAAATGCCGGGCTCACAATCAGAACGTGAACGGCAGAGGAAGCATGAAGAAGAGATGCAACAAAAATGGGAAGCTACTATCAGTGCTCAATTGGAGAAGATGAAGCTACCCGAACTCAAGGAAAACTTGAGTAAACGAAAGCTGAAGACCACCGGTAACAAGAGTGAATTGGTGTTGAGACTAAAAACTGCATTGAGTTTCGAACGAGAACACGGTGCCTCGGGAAGTGCAACCCAAGTGGAACCAAAGAGCCCAGTACCAGACGATAGAAGTGCCAGAATAGACGACGATGAAGAAGTAAGATCCAGCAGTGAGAGTAGCAGCGAGGAATTTGAAGAAGAAGAAGCTAGACGAATTAGACGTAATAGACGCCACAACCCCAGTAGACGGCCTCGCAGCTACATGCTGACATTCAAAGATGTTGAAGAGTCAATAGAGACTTTCAGTGGAGATGATCACATCAGCGTTGTCCGATGGATCAACGATTTCGAAGAATTGGCGGAGACGTGTGAGTGGAGTGATATCCAGAAGGTGACGTACGCGAAGAGGTTACTGAAAGGTCCTGCGAAGCTATTTGTGAATTATGAGAAATTCAAAAAATGGTCACAACTGAAGAGAGGTCTCAAAGTAGAGTTTGCCGAGATCATCGATAGCCATAAAATTCACCAGGAGCTGGCAAAGTGCAAGAAGAAGCCAGATGAGTCATTCCAGACTTATCTATACAAAATGATGGACATTGCAGCTCAGGGCGATGTGGACTTACGGTCTGTGATCCAGTACATTGTGACCGGGATTCCAGATGACCCCGTGAATAAAACAAAACTCTATGGTGCAAAGACAGTTCGTGATCTCAAAGAACGATTTTTGGAGTACGAGGCGATGAAAAATGAAATGAAGTTGAAGAACAAAAGTGTGAAGATCGATGATAAAAAGAAGTCGACGCGACCGGGTAGTGCAGTGAAGAGCGGTGACATTAAATATTGTTATAATTGTGGCGAGAAGGACCATTTTGGCAGAGAGTGCCCGGACAAAGCCAAAGGACAAAAGTGTTTCAAGTGCAAGGGATTTGGCCACATTGCTTCGAGATGTACATGGAAGCCAGAGGAGAAGAAAACGTCATCCTATGCATCATTCCAGGCGCCTCGAGGAAAGCAGTTGAAGGATGTCGAAATTGAAAATCAGAGGTATTCTGCGGTGATTGACACAGGTAGCGATTTAAGTCTAATGCGTAAAAAGACGTATGAAGAGTTGGGGTCTCCTCCGTTGGGGCAAGACACAAAATTTGATGGATTAGGCGCGAATAACAATTGTACATTCGGTTCATTTGAAATTGTTATGATTGTTGATGGAGAAGAGTATAAAATTAAATTTCATGTCGTAGATGATTCTTTGATGAAATATTCTGTGCTCATCGGAGCTGATTTTCTTAATCGAGTAGAACTGCGATCGGTTGCTGGTAAAGTTACTCTTCACAAAATTGTAAATGTTTTTCCTGAAGACGATGCTGACATTCCCGAAGTTTTGAAGATTGACGCGATAGAAGATAATTCTTTGGATTTATCACATGTAGAAGATGTAAATTTACGTGAACAAATTGACGGTATAATTCAGGCTTATGAGCCAGTGAAGACGCACGATGTAGGAGTTTCGATGAAAATTATTTTGACGGATGATATTGCGGTATCGCAGAAGGCAAGACGGTTATCACATTCAGAGACGCAAGAAGTTATTCGACAGATAGAAGAATGGCTAGAGCAAGGGATCGCTTGTCCCTCAAACTCAGAATTTGCAAGTCCGATTGTTTTAGTTAAGGAGAAAAATGGCGACGAATTGGCACACGAATTTGTGTGGATTATCGGAAACTAAATAAAAAGATCGTGAAAGACCGTTATCCACTGTCGTTAATTGAAGACCAGTTAGATCGTTTGCAAGGCGCGAGAGTTTTCACAGCCCTCGATTTGAAGAATGGGTTTTTTCATGTTGACGTGGCGGAAAATAGTCGAAAATATACGTCGTTTGTAACACCAAACGGGCAGTACGAGTTCTTAAAAATGCCATTCGGGCTTTGTAATTCGCCGTCGGTTTTCCAAAGATATATCAACGCAGTATTTCGAGATCCAATTGCGAAGAATATCGTTCTTACTTACATGGATGATCTTATCATTCCAGCGAGTGATGAAGTCGAAGCTATGAAAAATTTGAAGTCGGTGATTAATGTCGCGGAGAAAGCGGGATTAATAATTAATTGGAAGAAATGTAAATTTTTGCGGAGACGTATTGAGTATCTGGGGCACGTGATCGAAGACGGTAAAGTTGCGCCTTCAGAAAATAAAATAAAAGCAGTAATGAAATTTCCAGAACCAACATGCGTACGAGACATCCAGAGTTTTCTGGGTTTGACGGGGTATTTTCGTAAGTTTATACCGAGGTACGCGCGTGTTGCTAGACCCCTTTCGAATTTGTTGAGATCGGGCGTGAAGTGGGAATTTGGGGTAGAACAAAAGCGGGCGTTCAACGAATTGAAGATTGCTCTGAGTAGTCAACCGGTTTTGCATCTCTATCGGACGGAAGCAAAAACAGAGCTTCATACCGATGCTTCGAAGTCGGGCTATGGAGCGATCTTGATGCAAGAGTGCGAAGAAGATCATGCGTTTCATCCGGTTTATTTTGCGAGTGGTAAAACATCGCGTGCTGAGGAGAAGTATAGTAGTTATGAATTAGAAGTTTTGGTAATTGTAAAGTCATTAAAAAAGTTTCGAGTTTATTTGTTGGGAATTCCATTTAAAATCATTACTGATTGTAAGGCTTTTACGATGACAATGAACAAGCAGGATTTGTGTGTTCGCGTTGCACGGTGGGCGTTGCTCTTAGAGGAATTTAGATATGAAATTCAGCATCGTCCAGGGAAAAGCATGGCGCACGTAGACGCATTGAGTAGAAATCCTTTACCTGAAGCTTTGTTAATTGAAGAGAGTGATGACAGTATGATTGCGAGGCTCAAGAAATGTCAGAGCGAAGACAAAGATGTAAAAGACATAATTGTGTCGATGAGTGATGGCAAGAGGAATGATTTTGTTATCCAGAATGATTTATTGTATAAAAAAACTAAAGACGATGTATTGTTGGTGGTGCCAAAGGCCATGCAGTCGCAGGTAGTTCGACAGGCTCACGAGCAGGTTCACTTCGGAGTGACAAAGACCGAGGCGTTGGTCAAGCGAAATTATTGGTTTCCAGGTATGAGAGAGAGAGTTGAGAAGTTTGTAAAGGGATGTATCAATTGTATTGTTAGTGAAAGAAAACAGGGTAAACAAGAAGGTTTTCTCAATCCAATAGATAAAGGCGATATCCCTCTAGATACTTATCACATCGATCACATCGGTCCTATGACGTTGACGAAAAAGAGGTATAAACACATTTTCGTTGTAGTAGATGCATTTTCGAAATTCGTGTGGTTATACCCAACAAGATCTACCGATGCCGCTGAAGTAATTGATCGTTTGACGAAGCAGTCCGTCGTGTTCGGTAATCCAAGAAGAATTATTTCGGATCGTGGAACGGCGTTCACGTCAAATGCCTTCCAGGAGTATTGTCGTGAAAATAATATTCAGCATTCATTAATTTGTACAGGCCTTCCCAGAGCGAATGGTCAGGTAGAACGAGTGAATCGCACTCTTATTCCAATGTTGACGAAATTAGCTGCTCCAAAACCAGAAGAATGGTACAGGCATATCGAGACGACGCAAATGTATTTAAATGCTACACCAAGTAGAAGCACCAGTAAAACCCCTTTTAATTTGCTTTTTGGAATTAAGATGCGCTTGAAGGAGAATGTAGAGATTCGCGAGATGATTGAGGATGAGTGGATTAGAATGTTTGAGGAAGAACGTAACGTAGTGAGAAGAGAAGCGAAAGAGAGTATTCGTAAGGTTCAAGCTGAAAATCAGAAAAGTTTTAATAAGAGACGTAAGCAGGCAGAAATGTATCGTGAAGGAGACTTAGTCGCTATCAAACGCACACAGTTGGGACCAGGTTTGAAATTATTTCCGAAGTTTTTGGGTCCTTATCGAGTTAATAAAAAATTGAGAAATGATCGTTATGTAGTTGAGAAGGTAGGCGACCACGAAGGTCCAAGGCAGACGTCAACTTCGGCTGACCATATGAAGTTACGGTTAGCCAATAATGATTTTTCTGACGATGAAGATTTAGACGAATAAATGCAACATCTGAGGGCAGATGTTATTTGTCAGGAACGGCCGTGTGTAGTATCGGGAATATTTTAGTTTTAAGAGTGTCTCGACCGTGGGGAAGTACGCGTCATTGTAAGGGACGAAATGTCTAGACGCTGGGGATCTGCCCCAGAACATTAGAGATAGGAAATATTTTAGTTTTAGGTTTAGTCTTTTGTTATAAGCAGATGTTGGGATGGAATTGTTTTATTGAGGTAGGATTAAGACGAGACGTAGGATTAAGCATTCAATCGTTTTATTACGGTGACCCTCCAGCTGCTTCATCGACGATGCCCCACCCCCTGGCTGACCCACGCTGCCACGTCTTGGGAATTTTCCATTAGACGAAAATGGCGAGTGAGGCCCAATGATGCTTGGTGGTGGGGGAAGAGGCTAGGAGAGGGAAATCGGGGGTGTCGAAGGGCTGAAGGTGTCACCGAGGGGGTGGTTAATTGGCGGAGTTGGAAGTGTTTAGAAGTGAGCAGACAGACGAATAGACGAAGTAGTCTTGTCTGCTATTAGAAGTTTTTTGACGGTTAATTTAGAAGTTTTAGTTTACGTATCGAGGTGTATCGATTTATAAGACTGTATATTCTTAAAGTGTTTATTAATTAAAGTGTTTTTAAGAAAAACTATTCAGCTGTTTTATCTTTTTAAAAGTATCCCCATATAAATGACAGGCTAATCAGCCGGAGGGTTAAATTAGGCGGCAAGTAGATTAAATATTGATGTTTAGTGGGATTATCAGGTAAAATCAATAGCGGGATAAAATGGATGAGCCTGGAAAATATGAGAGTGGGGTAAAACGGGACGGTGGGTATAATGGAACAGCCTGGCAAATTGGACCATAGACAAAATTGGGCCGGAGACGAAATAGGACAACAAGGCAAAATAGAATAGAGTGAATTGATAATGAGATAATGGGGTTGGATAGATTAAGGGTTTAAAACGGATCCGCTTTAACCTGTTATTCTATTTTACCCCACTAGCTAATTAGCCTCTCATTTAGTTCACCACTCATCCCATTTTACCCCACGATTTAATTCGCCCATCACTCGATTACCAGATCATCCCATTTTGCTCCGTTGTCTAATTCATTACCCCTCCTCCCCAGTCATCCCCTATACTATATTATACTTGCTCCAGTGGTTATTTAATTAATTATTAATGAATCAATAATTCATTTTAGCGAGATCCTGATTATCAGTCCCGAAAATTCCAAGTTCCTATCTTTCAATGAGAGACTTCAGGCTCTACCGTCTTGGCGAAGACTCAAATAGACAGAAGTCTCTCACCAAAGACACTTCGAGGCGCGAAACCGGTTACGGGAGATACAGGTAGACTGATTCTTGTCTCTCACAGCCTTGGAGCGATCCGATAGACTGAAAATTTTTATTCCGGGTAATATTGATTAATTTTTTTCATGGAATGTTTTTTTGTTTCTCTGAATTTATAATGTGCATTTGTTAAGCAGAGTCATGGAAATCTATAATAGCAACGTCCACATCATGAACTCTGGGTTACGCTGAGAGCTGGGGTGGTTTGATTATTAGTGCACTCTAAGGTAAATAATGCATTTCCTAATGCATAATAAGTTAATGTCTACCTTTATTTGTTTAGCGTTCAAATGTTAGACGGAGTGTTGGGAACCATGCCGTAAATATATATGATCATCCACCTGAAAAAGTAGATGCCTCATAAAGGTCATAGATTCTGTAACCCAGTTCACAAACAGTAACGACTTCCTACCTAACAAATCCCGTATCAATTATTTCTTCTTGTTTCCGATAATTTATATCGTTTTATTAGGTGTATGACTTACTTTTTACAGATTTTTCAGCAAATTATTTAATAGAAAAACATGGAGAACAAAGAACTTAATCTTGGTAATATTGTCGATCGTTTTCTATGACCTTGCGCTATCTCTCAGGTAACATACGAATGCCGTCGCGGAAGAAACTTGCAGGCTTCGAGGCGATAAAGTCATCGACGAATTTACGCACATCGTCCGGCATTTTGAACTATTTATCCACTAAGGGGTGCTGAATTGACCGGAACAAGTGATACTCGGATGGGGTCAAGTCTGGTGAATATGCCTCGTGCGGAAGAACTTCCTATCTCAAGTTCAAAAGGTTCTTCTGAGTCGCGCGAGCAATGTGAGGTCGAGCATTGTCATGCAGCAGTATGAATTGCCTGCTTCCTTGCCCAGTGAATGGCCTTTTTCGATCAAGCTCTTTGCTCAGTTTGTTCAATTGTCGGCTATAGCGTTCCGCAGTCATCGTCTGATCAGTTTCTAGGAGTTCGTACTAAAGCACAACCATCATGTCCCACCAGATACACAGGAGAATCTTCTTTAAGTGGATGTTCTGTGTCGGCGTCGATGTACGGAGTTGCCCTTGATCTATCCACGACTTTTTACCTTCGGGATTCTCGTAAAAAATATACTTTTCATCACTCGTCACAATTGTCCACAAGAAGTTCTTTTTTTGTTGCCGGGCAAGCAGTGAAAGGCACGTGTTCATACGTCAACCTAGGTTGTGTTCGGTCAACACATGTGGGAGCCATCTTCCAAGTTTTTGGATTTTTCCTATTTGGTGCAAACGCTTGAAAATAGCTGTTTGGATGACTCCTAACTGAGCT